AAGAAATGGGGATATTTTATGAAAAATGTTACCCAATCCACTTCACAATATGTAGATTAATTGCAATTTGTAATGTACAAACCAGGTATGTAAGATGTTAATTTCAGTGCAACTCCAATAAAAGTTTATTAAATCCAAAAAAAAAAAAAAAAAAAAAAAAAATGTGTATCAGACTGTGCAATCTCTCCATGAGTTGGTTTTGAAACCCAGTAAGGGATTCTGAGATACATTACCAAGGATATTATTACAAGATAAATCATTTGCTTCATTGAACACATACAACAATGCATATTTCCACTGAGATCAGTGACCTTTGATGTGTATCACCAGTGATCAGTCAAGTAGAAACAGTCGAAATATTTTATCAGTTTTTCTCAATTTTTGCATGATATTTTCATACAGGACATCTGTTGTTCAAACTCAGGGAAGACTTTATACTGATGAACAAGGTGACCAAGTTTGATGAAATTTGGAATAGAATTAGTAAAGTTATCATGCACACAATAACAATTATTAACGACGACAACGACGACGACGACGACAACAACGACGACGACAACGACGGACAAAATCTTTCCCTTAATATACCTTTCCCTTCCATCTTTGATGGTACGGGCAAGGTAAAAATGAATACAGACAATATATTTTAGTGATTCAATCAAGCTTCATAGCCAGATCTCTCAGTATATAAAAATCAGCTTAAAATAACTGACATTAACTTACCCAACTTGCCAGAAAAGTATTGCACCATCAGAACCACCACTACAAAATAAATTTTCATGAATAGGATGCCAAGCAATAGCTGAAAGAATACAATTATAAAGAATGTTTACAGACAGCAATACCACAAGATATATATTTTGAGAGATGGTAGAAAAAAAGAAAAAAACACGCGTAACAACTACAGTAACTAGAATTTCTACACATGACCTAAATATTGAGACTGGGAGAGGGAGAGGGACGGGCGTTCCACTGGAACTGAGGTTTTGTCCATTTTGTTGTAATCACATTGAAGATGAATTAAACATGCTTCTAATTTGCCCACAATGTGCCAATCTTAGGCAAAAATTTATTCCACACT